TTATTTATAATAACAGGTTTCATTTGTATTCATCTTCAAGCTTCAAGTAAGTTCTTTTAACTTGTCAGAAAGACAAACAATTTTGCTTTTGTACAGTAACTTACTGTGGAGGTACACAGTGAAAGACAAGCAGCACAGTACACAAGTTGCAACAATTAAAATTAGGAAAAGTTTCTGACCATGGGCTTAGACAAACATTGCAACATCTCACCCATACAGCCAGTACAGTCTCTGTCCCTGGAGATACCCAAAACTCAAAGGGCAAGTCCCTAAACAACCTTATCTAGGCTGGCTCATTTTGACTAAGCAGTATTTGAGTTACCTTCAGAAATTTCCTCCAGCCAGTATGACTGCAGAAGTAAATCAAGTTATTATTTGCAGTTACACACACAGTATATCAGCTTCTTCAGAGAGTGTTTAACATCTTCCCAAGAAAGTGATTCAAATATCTATTCTGTCTATTCAATCTCAATGGTATTGATGAATTTTTAGTTTAAAAAAACCCAAACAAACCAAAAGTCTAACTCAAGACAACATATTATCTTCACAGACATTTTCATATATATCCTGAGATGGACATGAAAATCTTAGATCTTGGAAGGCCTCCAATATTCAAAATTACATGTCAGTCTTAAAAGCCCTCCTAACTTCCTCATTCTTACTGAAGAATTCCATCAAAATATTATCAAGGACTTGCAAGACTTCAAGTTTACTTTATAGATTACAGTGCAATTATACCCAGAAAAGGTTATTCAAATGCAGCTCCTACTCATCTACAATCTCCAAGTCTCATTTGACACAATTCTGAAAGACACAAATCTCAATCCCTTCAAAATGAGTGATGTAGAGCACTAGAATTTCTTTAACACATGTAAATTAGAAAAGTTACATTTTTACTGTCAAAAATTCTGCTAATGCTTTCAAAGCAGTTTTAGGAAAAAAGTTTGTATTTGCATTGAGAAAAGCACCTGAGCCTCCCACATTGGTGGGCTCATACATGTAAGTGCAATCTGCTTTCACTGTATTATGCTTTAAGGATAGCATTACAGGTGAGAGATTAATTTTACTGGCACAGATTTTTCATTCCAAAGCACTAACATAAGAGATGGGTTTTTCTTAATCTGACAAAACTATACCACAGAGATTAGTTTAACTTTATTAGGTAAATTAGGTGTTAAAATCTACAAATCTAAGAAGTTACAAAGTTACCCAATGCAGCAGGAAATACCTGGAAGCCATCCAGGCTCACTTTCACAAATGGGACTACTTCCTCATTGTAAGAGAAGTCTTCCTCGAATCACACTGTCAAACCCCATCTTTCTGAAAAAGTGAAACTACTGAGATATAAGCTTACTGAAAGAGGTGTAGTTCCTTTTTTTAAAAAAATATGTTTGACAATTCCCGTATTTATTATGTTCAGCATTTTAAGGAATGCAAGAGCTAATTTAGTATTTAAAAGCTTCATGTGTTATTCTTTCCTCCCTGAAGGCATGCTGATTTTCTGAGGCTTTATCTCAAGTCATACACATCTAACTCCTGTGCTTTGTATTTTCATGTTAAAAACAAAAAACCCCAACCAAACCTACAGAAAACATGTCCCTTCAAGTCACCAAAAATGGACTAGAGAACACTGCTTATGTTTTATGATTTAAATAGTTTTTGTGTTGTTTTTCATTTGCGCCATTGTTTGTAAATGAATATTTATATTAGCAAATGCAACTTTTACAGTAATCATAATCAATTTAATCAACGGTTTGATGAACTATTCATCAATTATGGCCTATATTCATGTAGATATTCATGTACCTTAAATATTCCCACTAATATGCTTATTGAAATATTTTATATGTGTTTACTAGTTTGTTGTAGCTAGTAAGAAAACAATTTCTAGCTAAACTGGACTGAAATGGAACTGCAAAAAATGGTTACTAGACTTTAACAAAACTACATCAAATATCCCATGTACATAAATAGGTTTTGCATTCAAAACTTGTTAAGTGATGATGCATTATCTATAGGAAAAGTGCAGAAGTAATGACTTTGTTGCTTGAGATTTCAGGGCTTCAAGATTTCCACCTCTCATACCCCATTTGTAAATAAACAAACTGAATCGACAAACAAACTTACGTTATTCAACACATCTAAAAGCTTCTGAACTTTCAGTGACCTATGTGAGTAACTCAACTACAAAACACTGGATCACAAAAGCTGTCTTTAGCACTGAAAAATCGCTGCTCCAGGATGCTAAAACCAGTAACTTTCACTGGCAATGGTCCAACTTCAGATCTTTGGATCTACACAAATCTTACACACCTTATTTGTTACAAATAGTCTTTTTTTCTTTTTAAATGCTTCTTCAAATTTATTGTCACACTCACTGCATCACTGAAAGAAAAACAAAGTTTCAAAAATATCTTCAAAAATGTGAATCTAAGGGACAAGATTGAGTTCAAAACCATTTATGCAGTCTTGAATATTGAAATGCTCTTTCTGGTTCTTCTCCTTCCTTGGTTTTAAAGATTCTCTACCTGAACTGTAATAATCTTGTTTTCCATTATTTCAATTATGCTCCTTTCTATATTTTCAGTAATGCTGAACATTGTGAGTTTTAAACCTGAATTATGCTACAGCTAAACACAGTCATCTTAAATCTAGAAATAGTAAGGTACATGGATCTGCTTACTGCCTTTGCAACACTTAAATCTTTTGATGAAACATGAAGTATGAATCAAAGACCTTTCTGAACTTGTCCCATCATTACATCACTCAATCTCCTACTTATTTGTGCTCATACATCATTATTACAAGTCTGAGACCAACAAGTTCTGTTATTTGGTTCACCTTCTTTCCTCCTTGAATTTCAGGACTTTCAGGGTTCTAGTAATATCTCTACTGAAATTATCTACAAAACTACATCACCACCATCATATGCATCAGCTTTCAATAATATCAGTTCTGTATCATGGGAAGAAAGCATATAAAGGAGCAATGTGATTTTTTTTCTCATGAAATGCCTCTTCGCACCTACTCCTGCATTTATTTATAGGCCCAACTGGATGAGTGAGAAGGGTGTGTTTGTCAAATGCTGTCCAGCTGATTCTTTTTTAAGCTCAGTAAAACTGAATACTTGAAATAACATTTTTATTGTACAAGAACAGCACAACTTCATGCATCAGAAACAAAATCTTAAGGTATCACATGTATATTGCCACGTGTATATTTTGCATGAGTTTACAGTGTTATCCATCTTTAATTTCTTAGCCAATAAAATATACTCTCAGGCTTGGAAAATTCCACTCATACAGGACAGTCAATTTTATATGGGACTGATAGAGAAATCAATTTAAATTTACAATGGATGAGTGCTCATTCTATTCACTTATACCAAGGCAGGAAGAGTCTCTGCACCCTTTTTTGCAGAAAAGAAAAAATGAAATTAGTGAGTGGAATGAAGTTCAGAACTTAACTCCATCAGCCAAAAAAGCACAGGCAGTGCTTCCAAGATCATATAAGATAAAACTGTCATTCTGTCTTGTATTGTTTGACAGGACAAGAAGCAATGGGCACAAAATGAAACACGGGAAGTGCCATCTGAGCACAAGGAAACACTTTTTCACTGCAAGGGTGACCAAGCACTGCCATGGGTTGTCCAAGGAGGCCGTGGAATCTGCATCCCTAGAGATTTCCAAAAGCCATCTGCACATGGTACTGAGTAGCCTGCTCTAGATGACTCTACAAAATGATGTCCAAGGATCCCTTCCAATCTTAACCATTGAGTGATGTCAAGATAACTCGTAGTCAAAGTATTTTTTGCATACTTTCTGGAACAACACACTTGATTGGTGTTACTTTTATTTTCTATAAGGGGCTAAAAAACCAAAATTACCACTTATACTTTTGGATCACATTACTACTTGTATCAACAGAGAGGTGGCATTGAAATGTGAATTAAGAAGAGGAAGGCAGTATTCAAACGTCTTGGGAAGAGGATAGCAAGAAATTGGTGCTGTGTACCCATAGGCATATCAGTGCATCTCTAGTTATAAAACAGGGTTAAACAGAAAATCTGCTTTACTGTAACTACTTAGATATTTTAGACATACTTCTAACTTCAAATAAGTCTGAAACATCATTTATTAATGCCTTCCACATTTGAGTCACCTCACAACTTCTACAGCCATGAAAATTAAGTTTTAAAGTGGAAAGTCAGCAAGAGCATGTATTATTACATAAAGGCAGGAGCAGTGCACCAGCACCATGTACACAAAACACCACACCCTAGCTTGGAAACAGGCAGCTGCCATGAAGCTGGATCCTACAGAGGACGACAAGGAACAGTGATAACAGGTCTCACAAAACATCCTGCTTCTTTTGAGACTTCTCTGGAAAAATCTACCTTAAATTTAAATTTCCAAATGCCACAAGAAGAGTACATGGTACATCTCGCCAACACAGTCCCTCTGCTCCTTGACCTCACACTTCCTCAATTACTGCCTCGTAGCAGGAAGCCAAATAGCCTTCCTCATCCCCACAGCTCCTTCCTCTCGTAAATCACATGTATCCCATCTCCTCCCGGAGCCTGCGGGGGTGCCTGGGGACGGCAGGCGTGCGCTTCGGAGCAGCCGGCTGGCACGGGCACGGCGCCTCGGGAACGGGAAGTGGAGGTGGGGGAAGGGAAAGCCCTTCCGCGTCTCTTCTGTCTCTCCCTGCCGTCCCCGCGCCCCCCGCACGCCGGGCGGGGGCGGCCGCGGGGACCGGCACAGCGGCCTACGCTGGGCCCTGGGCACCGCCCCCGCCGGGCCCGCGCCGTACAAGGCGCGGCGTGAGATGCGGCCGGGCCGGGCCGGCCCTGCCCCGGCCTCCCCCCAGACCCTCCGCCCGCCCCTCCCGCGGCCCGGACCGGCTGTGCGGCCACGCTGAAAACAGGAGCCCCACCGGCTCGGAGGGACGGAGGACAAGAGTGGGGCACGGTTCGAAGCAGAATATCCACCCATCCCTACCTTCTCCTCGTCGGACAGCTGCTCCTCCAGGTCCGCCATCTTCCCGTCCGGCTGCGCCCGCCCCCTCCCGCTCCTCCTTCCCGGCAGGAAGGGCGGGACCCGCGCGCGCTCCGTGCGGAGGCGGTGCCTTGTGCGCGCGCGCGGCGGGCGGGGACCCCGGGGCGGAGGGGCCCGCCGGGAGCGGGACTGAGGGATCCCGGAGGGGTTTGAACAGCAACTGGAGTTGTGGGTAATCAGAAGTAAAACTCACAAAATCAGGTTGGAAAAGATCTCGGGTATCGAGTCCAACCTATGAGGAACACCACCTGTTCAACTAGACCATGGCATCAGTGCCACATCCAGTTTCTTAAACAGCTCCAGGGACGGTAACCCTCCCACCTCCTTGGGCAGCCCATTTCCATATCTAATCGCCCTGTCTGTGAAGAAATTCCTCCTAACATCCAAAAGAAACCTGCCCTGGCACCGCTTAGGGCTGTGTCCCCTTATCCTGTCTCTGGTTGCCTGGGAGAAGAGGCCGACGCCCAGCTGGCTCCAGCCTCCTTTCAGGCGGCTCTCAGCCCCCACCGTGGCCGGTGCTCCGTGCGGGTCCGTGGGTGCTGGGGCTGAGGCCCGGGCACCTCACAGGGGCTGGGAGAGCTTGTGGGAAGCTCAGTCTAATATCAGCGACAGAGAAATGTGTGAAGTGGTTTGTACTGTAGAAGTTTGCACGTGGAATGAGGTCACTGGGACAAAAATAAGTAGATTGGAAGTTTTTTACCTCCAGACAGGAATTGTGAAGAATGTCATCCAGCAATGTGCCATGGGAGGTACACAGGGATTTGGGCCGATGACTTGCAAGGATTGCCTCTGTGCTAGTGGTTACGCTGGTAACATTTAAAAATACAACTTAATGTCCAGCACAGCGTACTTCACCTCAGCTATGATGAATGAGGAAAAGCTGACCATTGGTGGGAAAATCACAGGTGTTGAAAATACACCTACGTCAGTCATGATTAGTGGTGTGAATGTAGCCAGCTTCAAGCCAAAGCATCTTGTTAGGCTATGGAGTTCATCCACATCTGCCTTTCTTGCATGAGTATTTCTGCACAAGTGCTGCCAACACACAGTAGAGCAAAACATGCCTATCCCTGTAGGATTTTTCAGGGCTGTTACTCTTGATACTTTAAGAGGATTGTCACATGAAAATGACAGAAAGTGAAATCGGACAAAAAGTTGTTTAAGCCAAATGTGGGTATTGTAATGGCACAAAAAAGTCAGTATATAATGAAAACATGGAAATGAAAATAAGTAAAAAATAATTAATGTGTAGGTTGGGCAACTTGGCTGGTTCAGGGCAGTTGAAGAAAGATTTAAAAATACCTGAAGCCATGGAGGATAAATATAATAGACAGTAGTGTATTATGTCAGGAAGAAGATAAATGACAACCAAATCTAATGTTTAATAAGACCATTGCTAGATTTAGAGTAAAGTATAGAACAGAAAATGTGCATCTAAGGGATATTTGGGTTTTGAACATTTTACATATATTATTTGGACTCAATAATAAAAGGTAATGGTCTGTAGCAGGGAACAGCATTGTGCAGCTTTCTGTGTCATGCAACAGTACTTTATAACTTCCACCCAGAAGTCTTAAGAGTAACTACCTGAGGTCTGTGAAATGCTCCTGTTAAATTTTAACATACCTTGGATTTGCCATCTGGGGGATATTGCCATGGGTGTTGCTTTATTTAATATGTAGTAGGAAGACAGTTCATAAAGGTAGGTCTTCTCAGATAAATGTGAACAGTTTTCTTATAAGTTAATATGTCTGTCTGTTGGATGTAACATGTTTAGAGCAGATTTTTCTTGGAAGTTTGCTGAAACTAACATAATGAAGTGAATGATTCAGAGGAGGATGGTGTAGTCATCATAGAAACTGATGTGAAACTTCTTAGTAGTACCCTTACAGGTACTTTACTGTGACCTTAGGACTTAATGGGAAATGAATAATCATGCAGAAATAATGTGACTTTGTATTTTGTGACTAAAGTTATTTTGGGGTGTTTGTGTGTCTTCTCAGGAAGAATATGGAAATTTCAGAGCGATTTTAAAGGAGGACTAAAAATAATCCTGGAGATGCAGAAAAAAATTCAGGATATGAGGCTTAAGGATGTCAAGACTGAGATGTGATTTTGGATATAGCAGTAATACATGAGTTAGTTTAGAATTTAAACACATCTTCAATGAAGTCATATATCTTTGCTTGCTGTTTTAAATTGAATACATCCAATTTCCAACCAGTAAATCTCATGTATAAAATTCATATGTTTTCATGTGACAGTGTCTCTACACATTGATCAAAGGCTAATTTGCACTACAATCACATACAGAACAGCAAAATATCCTGTAGCTAGCTCATGTCGCAGCAGCTGTCTAGTTCCACTATGTGAAGTTCACCATGGGCTAGCAGATCTGACTGATGAGCAGCATGTGGTTTAGTGTAGTGAGAGAAAAAACCAATAAATTATAAAAAGAACCCACCTCCCCACGTCCCAAACAACAGCTACTGAATTTTACTTAATCTAATCAGATGTAGTAGAGCTACCAGTCAAGTACCTTGCTATTTTTCTGCACTGCTTCTGTCTTTTTTTTCTGTATTGACTCTGTAGAGCCAGACCCATGGCCCTTGAGTAGCATTGGGAGGGAGAGCACAGAGCTCCTTACTGCAAGGTCTCCCTGCAGGACTACCAATAGGGCTTGAGAGAAGTGCAGTTTCTGTGCTGAAGCCATCCTGAAGACTGGCAGTGAGGTGATAGGGCACAGTGGTTAGCACAGCACACCTCTGTCCTTCTGCACTGGCCCTGAACATTGATATAAACAATGCAGAAAAAAACCCAAAACGTTTTCATTCTTCTTCATCAAGGCAGGTGATTGACATTTTATCTATTGCATCTGCTGAAAGGACAGACTCATAAGAGGTGTATTTGGGGCCTACTTGTTTAACCTGGAGGATGTACTACGTTCTGTTTCCTATGACAAGGATGGACTCTAGCCAAGCTCTGAGCCTGGCTTAGGTGGTGCTCCTGGCAGTAGGAGAGGAGGAGTGCCCAGAAAGGCGTGGCAGCCTGTATCCCTGATGCCTGCTCCTTTCCATGGGAAGCACATTCTTGCATCCTGACAGGTGTTGGAATAAATCCTCATGTTCCTGTGAGTTGGTAGGGGACATACTCCAGTTCCTGAGCATGTATGTATGTACAAGTATGTAGCAGATCTTAAGGCCTTGGGAATAGTCTACCAAATTGTGTCTGTATGTTTGGAGACTTAGTATTTGCAAACCTCTCAGTTTGCTATTTGTACCTTAGAGATCCTTAACAGCAAAAGCAAATAGGTTTGTTCTAGAGAAGTTGAATGATAAATCCTTACAATAGTGTTGGAAAGAAAGCTGTGACAGGAAGAAAAATATTAACAAGTATATCTGTAGAGCAAGCCTGATACTGAGCTTCCTTCTTAGGTAGCACTTAGGATGTTTTAGAAGAAAGAATACCAGAGAGGATAGTTTGAATGTAATGAAATTAATTCAGTGAGAATGGAATACAAAAAGGAGTGAAAAATATGTACCAGGGAAATTACTGAGGATAGAGTGGGTATTAATGAAATGGGGAATATAATTGTCAAATGAATCATCTGTAAAAAGGTTTAACTTGAGTATTTAAAATTGGATTATTGGGAAGTATTGTTGATACTTTGCTGATAAACACCTGAGTCTGAGCTTGTGACTCTCAGCTTCTATCAACAGAGAGAAATAAGCACTCCAAATGTGAGATTCATCTGACCTAGTTAAGACACCTGTCTTAGGACAAGCTTATTGTCTATATGAGTTCAGGCCCAGCTGTCTAAATATTAGGTACCTGTATTATGACAACCAAATCCCCTTTTATTAGAATATTAAAAGAAAAGAAGGTGATGGGCCAGTGAAGAGGCACAAGGGCTAAGGGAAGAGCACAAGGGGCAGCTGAAGTTAAAAAGCTAAGGAAAGGAGAGAGGAATTTGTAGTTCAGCACTGCTCTGTGCTCCCTCGGGAAGCTGTACTCAAAGAGGTAAATCACATCTTTATGCACAAAGGACTTTGTACCAAGAGGGCTGTACTTCTGTACTGCCTTTACTGCAGCTCCTACTCAGACATCAGGAATGCCATATTGATAGCTATTGATAATATGGAGATAGAGCAGGATTAGGATTAACAAAGGAAGAGGACAGGCTGGGGATTAGGAAACAGACCAGAATCAAAGTGTAAGGGTTCTGCACCCCATAAAGGCTAATGAAGACCCTTAAGATAACAGTGTGCCTTGCAACACATCCAAAACTTCTGCAGCCTTAATCAGTCTTACTCTCTTCTGGTGTACCTATTTGTTTGCCTTTGCTCTGTATCGGGATAGACTGAGAAAGCAGGAGAAAGAAAAACTGAGGAGAGCAAAGGAGCTGGAGCACTGCTTGCCCCAGCCATGAAATTGTTACAGGAATAGAACAGAATAGTGAGTAGCTGCTCACAGGATTTGAGCAGCCACCTGATTTTGAAAAGCTCCATGAGAAAACATAAAAATTCCTTTCCTTCCCTCCCACTAAGCCAGGTTCTTGCTTATATTTTTAGTTATTCCTTTCACTAAAAAAAAAAACAAAAAAGAAGAGGGAAGTGTAGTGTTCTACTGGATTTATTTACTTTCGTTCTAAAGGAGACATTGTTTGACAATTTTATTTTTCAACAGGAAATGGTAAATGTGCTGATTTGTTTAATGAAGTTGAGCTTCACTGTAGGAATCCAAATTCCTTTTTTGTTTTACTCTCTGTAGAACTGAATGTCTTATATAGATAAAATCTCAATAAAGATAAACCATTCAAGCAGATGTGAGTAAAGAGCTGGGAATTTCTGGGCTACTGTAGAGAAAAATGCCCCACAGAGTCAGTGGTACTTTATGCTGCTTAACAGTGGTGTGGGGCCTTAATTTTGATCTTGTGCACATATTGGAAGAAATAGTAGAAAGGGAAGGTTGGACTTTGAAGTAAAAATGTAATTTTATTTTTGAATGTTTGGCCTCTGAATGATATGCAGC